GACACTAGTCCTATTGGACTAAGAGCCCAACTACTGTACTATGACCTTGTTGTAACTTGATTATACCTTCAAAGAACTTATCTTCAAATCAGGTCACATTCATAGGTTCCAGGGGTTAGCATTTCAACATATTTTTGGGGGGGACACAATTCAACCCATAGCAGGCATTTAGAATAAATCTGTGCATATTAATACCTAATATTAAATATTAAAATAATGAAGTTAATGGACAAAGTATAGAAGTGTGAAATGTTCACATTGTTGTCGAGTATGGGTTTTATAAATGTCAACTTTAAAAAGCTAAATTCTATTTATTCAGTTTTATTAATGACTAGTTTATTGTTGGATACTTCTAAAGTTAATTATTTTATATGACATAAAGACTTCATACAAGCACTCATGCCTATGCTTATAAGTTCAGTTTCTAATTACAGAAATTCTTTTCCTTTTCCAGTAGAAATGAGTACTCCACTTAAAACTTCAGACTTCATTGGTAAAAAGGATTAACGAATAAATTGTTTAGGAAATACCGTAAAGGAAATGGTGATCTACTAATTTATGATCATCAAGTTCCAATTAATTTCCTTGTCAGTATTTGTGATAAGTGTCATCCTTCTAAAATTTTAGGAAGTGATATGTCATTGTAAGTTGTTATATCAAGAACAACAATTCTTGACAAAACTTCCTTTTTAAAAGCATAAGTGAATACAAGTAATTACCTCTCATCCTTGGATTTTTGTGCAGTTTTCTCAATGTAGTAAATTAAAATGTCAATATTCAAATGATCTAATAGCAAAGCCTCCTCTCTTGTAATTCAACCATGTAGATAGTGAATGGGCCTCAGTCTTGATGACTTGCCTGAAAAGTACTTTGAAACTCTTTTCCCTTGTTCACAGATTGTTCTTGTTTGCATATAACAGTCATCCAAAAAGCCAGAAGGGGAGCATATCATCAGTACCTGTCAGCTGTGTCACTTTCTTCGTTTAGCATTCTAGAAATAGAAGCATCCTTCCTGCTCCTTAGACTGTCTGGCCAGGTCTGGTACCCACACTTGCAGTATCCTTATTCAAATGTGTCCTCTCTTATTGCAGCTGCTGTCCTTCAAAAGAGATGGTATGGTGAACTCTCACCACCCTCTCATTCTGGGCTTCTTCTCAGACCAGGATCTAGTCTGCTGAGGCTGGCCACAGTGAGGCTGGAGTTGACATATACGCACACTCCAGCATGACTTCCCCAGGTCAGGCCTGCTTGCAGCACTGTCTGTAAGTATGTAAGCAGATAGCTTACCCCTCGAAGCCCTGTGTTTTCTCTTAGATGAGCACTTTAGAACCCCAGGTAGAATGGGAAAATACTTTCTCTTTAAATGTCACTAGATCTGTTTAGTATCTTGAAGTCAGAGGTAAGAGACTAAGCCTGTTTTTTGGTAAACAGGAGAGAATGTTTTTGTTTAATATTCCTTTTTTCTTTGTTGGTAGACTTTCTCCATTGTGACATAGGAGAAAGACTAGATTATACAACCCTGTACAAGGAAGAATAAAAGTTTCTGACTCTCTGAGCTGTTTCATGATGATGATGATGGTATCACTACCTTCCAGAAGTTAAGCCACTATATTCTACTCATTGCCTGGAAAATAGAAATCATAGAGTTAGGTTAAGATGTTGCACTAGAAGTGTTCTGGTTTGAAACTGTCATCAAGAGCTTATTGGAATTGTAGAAATTATCAACCCTGGGATACAGGAAAATTTTTAATCGCTATCATCCATACATGTTCACAGGGATATTCTCAAGGTCACGAGTTGGCAAACTACAACCCAAGGGCCAAATCTGGCCCACTGCCATTTTCTTAAATAAAATTTTATTGGAATACAGCTACATCCATTTGTTTACATATTGTTCTGGCATTTTTGGCCATATATGAGCAGAGTTGAGTAGTTGCGACAGAAACCATATGGCCCACAAAAGACTAAAATTTTACTATCTAACCCATTACAGATAAAATTTGCTGACCCCTGCTCTAGCTGATGCTTCCAAATTGTACAACCATATAATTGAAGAACTTCAAAGCCCATTAGAGATTATGTATCCCAAGTCTAAAGTGATTTTATGGATGGGCAGATCAAGGCTCATGAAGTGACTTGCCGAAGGTCTTACTGTTTGCTGGTGATTTTCTTTTTCTTTTTTAAAAGGAAGATATTTTTCCAATAACTTTTTTTAAATTGTGATAAAATGTATGTAACATAAATGTTATCATTTAACCATTTTTAAGTGTACAGTTCAGTGGCATTAAGTACATTCATATTGTTGTATGACCATCACCACCATCCATCTCCAGAACTTTTTCATCTTCCTGAACTGAAACTCTATATCCATTAAACAATAATTGTCTGTCTCCCCTCCCCCTAGTCCCTGGCAACCACCATCCTACTTTCTGTCTCTATGAATTGGACTACTCTAGATACCTCATGTAAGTGGAATCATACAGTATTTGTCTTTTTGTGACTAGCTTATCCATAACTTGTTTAATTGAAGGAAGTATGCTTTACAGAAACAGGGAAATTCTAGCCTTGTCCCTGCTGATCCAACACTTGGCTTGGCCCAGGGTGAGCTAGCTGATCAACTTTTCTTAATGGCCTCAGCTCTAAAATGGTACATTTTGGTATCTTTCTTTGAAGAATATACACAGTATCATGATATTGGTCAATTAAAGCAAAACAGGAAGATCCTAAAATTTACAGTGGAATTTGTTGTTGTTAGTGCCATCAAGTCGATTCCATCTCCTAGTGACCCTGTGTACAGCAGAGCAGAACCCTACCTGGTCTTTTTGTGCCATCCTGTCACCTTTGGCGCTATATCAGACAGTGCTTCGCTGCTATTCATAGAGTTTTCATGGCCCATTTTTTTTGAAAGTGGATGGCCAGGTCCTTCTTCCTAGTCTGTTTCAGTCTGGAAGCTCTGCTGAAACCTGTCAACTGTGGGTGACCCTGCTGATATTTGAAAAGCCAGTGGCATAGCTTTCAGCATCACAGCAACATGCAGCCATCACAGTATGACAACCGACAGACTGGTGGTGTGGTTCCCTGGCCAGGAAAGGAGCCTGGACCATGGCTGTGAGAACACCAGATCTTAACCAGTAGACCACCAGGGCTAGCTTTACAGTGAAATAGTCACAAAATATTAATTTTGAAGTTCAGGTTTTGCTTCCAGTATTTTTGTACAAGAGAGCACAAATTAATACTCAGAAAGTAAATTTGTGGGCATTGGAATTAGAGGGTAGACAAAGGATGATAATTCAGGTCTCATTACCACTCCTGGTAGGATCAGAGCACACTTCTCTGGCGACTAGTTCAGAGTTTGCCCAATTCTGTGTCTCCCTGCCCTACACAGTGGTGCCCACGCACTGCCCACATCTTGCCCTTTCCACTTCCCTTTTTTGTGTTCCTTGCTCATCGTTTTTCTGTTTTCATAAAGTTATTCCAGACAGGGTAGGATATAATAGATTATGTTTTAGTTTACGAAATATGTCACATTTCAGTCCTGCCTGCCTAAGACTATACCCAGCTCACTCAATTGGAGTTTTCAATGTTCATAAAACTCTTTCGACTTCTGTGTACATCCTATTTCTTAAGTTCATCTTGAGATGAGTAATTTAAGCCATGATTTTCATATTTTACTCATTTACCACTTAGAGAGTAACCTTATTTAAAAATTCTTGTAGGGGGAGGAAGGGCACCTGGTATGGAAGTTAGGTGACTAACTGTTGCCTCCGTGTACATCCTAAAAGCAAATAAATTGTACTAAGGCGTTTGTTCTATTTGTTTATCACCATGCCTTAAATTGTGTCCTATGTTTCATTGTTGTTTTGTCCGAAGAGCAGGGAAGGATATAGATATGAAATTCTTAAAATTAGTTCAGCAAGCATTTGTTTGCTTACTGTGTATGAAGTGCATTACTTGTATCATCTCATAGAATCCTCTTGAAAACTCCTATGAGACGTGTACTTTTTTTTTTTTTTTTTGAGGAAGATTAGCCCTGAGCTAACTGCTCAGGTGCCAATGTTAAAAAACAAAAGTCTTCTTTTTTCTGAGGAAGACTGGCCCTGAGCTAGCATCCGTGCCCATCTTCCTCTACTTTATATGTGGGATGCCTGCCACAGCATGGCTTGCCAAGCGGTGCCATGTCCACACCCAGGATCTGAACTGGTGAACCCCAGGCCGCCGAAGCAGAACATGCGCACTTAACCACTGCACCGCTGGGCCGGCCCTGAGACATGCACTTTTATTATATACATTTAGGTGATGAGAAAACTGAGACACAGAATAGTTATTTGCCCTAGGATACATAGCCAGTAAGAGGTTGTGCCAGAATTTGAACCTGGGCTGTCTTGACTACAAAGTCAGATTTCATTTATTTGCTTGTTCATTTGTTCATTCATTCATTCATTCAGCAAATACTTAATGGCAGCCTACTATGTTTTAGGCTTGATTCTAATGATAAAAGCCTTGCCCTCATGGAGCTTATGCTCTGCTAACCACTTTCTATGCAGCCGTCTTGTATTCGCATTAGTCATCTAATCTAAGATGCTTTGATGCTGGTGCTTTTTTTTAACTTCTTATCAAGAAGGTATCAAAGGAAGCTTTGATAACTGCCAGGAGGTTTTCCAGTCAACTAGAATAACCCCTTTCTAGAGTGAAGACAAAAACTATTTCTTTCTTCTTGAACTATCAAGGACAAGTTATCCCAGCTTCTGAGACTATTGTAGGGTTTATCATGCAGAAGATAGACAATTAAGTATGTCTGTCTTGGGGCTGGCCCCATGGCCGAGTGGTTAAGTTTGCACACTCTGCTTCGGTGGCCGAGGGTCTTGCCAGTTTGGATCCTGGGTGGGGACATGGCACCGCTCATCAAGCCATGCTGAGGCAGCGTCCCACATAGCACAACCAGAGGCACTCTCAACTAGAATATACAGCTATGTACTGCGGGGCTTTGGGGAGGAGGAGGAGGAGGAGAAGAAGAAGAAGAAAAAAAAAAAAGATTGGCAACAGATGTTAGCTCAGGTGCCAATGTTAAAAAAAAAAAGAAGAATATCTATCTATACCTATCTTATAGCTAATGTCCTCCTGCTCTAATTTAGGCCAATTTTTGCTTAGCTTTTCTGCAAACCTGAACAAAAATGCATCAGTATCTTAGTCATTAAGTCTTTGAATAGTTGAAGACAATATGAACACACTAATTTGGCTTTTGTTTTCAAGAGTTGTTTTGTTTTTGTTTTTGGTCCAAGATGGAATTACAAAGTGAAGTATAAGAGAGAAGGTCATCTAAGTGGTTTGCCATCTCCTCTTTCAGATACGCTTTCCTTCTCCATGCTGGCTCCCCAGCCTCCCAGCCAGCAAAGCGTTATGGTTAATACCCTGCTAAAGTGTTAACTCATAACTTCAGCCTTGTGTCCTTCCTTGGCCTTTCTCCCTTCCTATGGACTAAGAAGTCTACTAATCCTGGCAAGCTGGGAACCCATAGCTCAAGAGATGGCTCATGAGGGCTTAATTATGACCCCACCTGAGGAATTTGCATTTTAATGGAAAACATTTCTGCTACCCGTTCAGTCAAGGGGAGTGAATAAAGATTTCACCAACCACTTCTGCAATGTTGAACTAACCCAAATTATTAGACATATGTGGGGAACTAGTTTTCTTTGTATGACTTTGAATTGCTTAGTAAAATATTTAGGTTTCTCCATCTTGTTTTTAAAAATTGGATGTGATGGCTATTGAGTTCAGGGGAAGGAGTGCTTTCTGATGGTTGTGTTCCTTACTGAATGCCCTGTCCTAGATCCATTGCCCTGCCCTGCCTGGAGTGTCTTATTCATTCTACATTCTTGGGATATATCTTAGTATGAGGACCTCTGCTGGGTGGAACAGGATTACTAGGTACTATTCTGCTGGTGGTCCACAGAACTACTACTTATACCTTGTATTTTGACAGTCCTTTACAGTTTACAATTTAAAAAACATTTCTCACTTATCTCATTTAATCTTCTATGTGCTCATTATAACAACCCACAAGTATATAAAGAAAATCTTCCCTGTAGACCAGTGATTAAGATGATAATATTAACCTCAATTTTCATAGGAAGAAAATGAAGCCAAGGGAAGTCAAGTGACTTGTCCTGACTAAAAATCAGGTTCTCTTGACTCTGGGTCCAGCGTCCGTCCTTCTACACCATAGCTACCTGTAAAATCAGGACCTTTTCAATTCACGTGCCTAGTCTTCTCTGATTGTTTATGTCACTAAGTTTCTATATTGCATTTCCTCCAATTGAATTTCTTATCTTTTTTTGGTAGCACATTTTTTTCTAACTTTTCTATAATCACTCCTAACATTAGAATCATCTATGTTCAGATTTGATGGAATATTCTTGAGTCATTTGTCTGTTTATGATCCTCAGGGATTTATTCTGACCTCCCAGAATAATAGTTGTGGTTCTATAATGATGTTTTAAAATATCATAGCCCTGATAGTTGGAGTAAATCCAGGTTTTCCTTATAGTCTGCTCCTATTTTAGTTACATTCTCTGTTCTTGCAGTATAACTAGAATTTGTTCCAGCCAACTGTTGACACCACAGTAAAGAAACTACAGCTAGTTTTTTCTGCCTCTCAAAGGAGAAAAAATTTTTGTTGGTCTGTGTCTTTAGCATAATGTATTTAAAGCACCTTAAAACACTTACTTAGCTAGTTGCACAGTCTTTCACAGACTAACCTTGTCCCTATACCTAATGCTATTTGTCTGTATTCACTTTTAGTATATTGACTTAATTTCTCTCTTTTTTTCTGGCTTTCTCACTTATTTTTCATATCCATAGCTTTTGGTATTTTGCCTTGCTGTTTTTGTAACTGACACGAGTCTTAAGCATGTAGGACTAATTTCTTGACCACCCATAGTATGCCTTCCTTCAACGGGAGTTTTTGTCATTTGATCATGTTCCATTTAACATGTTATTAATAAATTTGGTGTATTGCTCCATCTTTTTTCTTGTGGATAAGTCTCTACTCCCTGGTGTGACTTTAATTAGTAGTCCTAGAGGACATGGATTATGCCTTAACACATCCTTTGTAAAGACCCCTCAAAGAAGAAACCAAAGAAAGAATACAGGGTATGTCTTAATGTGTGTGCAGATACTCGGCTTTTCAGTCAATATTTATTTGAGTGTTTACCATTTGCCATCCACTCTGCTAGGGCTGCACAGTCAAGCGATGGATCCACTGGGCTTACACGCTAGTAGAAGGTTCAGACAAGTAAACCAGATAATCCAAGATGGTGTTATATGGGACTTGAGAGAATGAGTTATTATGTATGTATGTGGTATACGTGTATCCAGGAGGCTCCTCAGCAGCTTTGAGGTGTCTGGGAAGGTGGCCTTTGACATCATCTGATACCTAAAGGATAAATAAGGATTGGCCAGATTTAGCAAGGGTGGGGAAGGATAAGGGGATTGGGACAGGGTGCTCATTTGAAAGAAGACCTGTCTCTAGCTAGAGGGTAAAGAGGTTCATTATGGCTGCAACATGTAGATCAAGGGAGGGGGATCCCGGATGTGCTTATTAAGTGTTTGGGCTTTCTCCTAAGAACAAGGGTTTTTTAAGCCAGGGAGCAGCATGATCAAATGTGTAGTTAGAAAGCGTCCTCTGGCTGTGCAGTGGGGAGTGGTTTGGCAGAGAAGAGCTATAGGGAGGCTACTTAAGAGTTCAATGAAGTAATAGAGGGTAGAGATGATAGTGATCTGAAACCAGGGTAGGTTAAGTGGAAGGATTCAAGAGACAGTTAGCAGAGAGAGTCCTTGAGAATTATTGATTGCAGGGGAGGGGGCATTAAGAGATAAAGAGACATGGTCAGGGGTGATTGGAAGTCCTTCAGTTCTCTGTTCCCTTCCCACTCCTGCATCATTGATTTTAGGCAACCATAGATTTTTAGCTGTAGTATCCATGGCCATAAAATAAATACATTTGGGTCCAGTAGGACACTTTAAATTTTGATGTTTTCTGAAATCTCTGTAGGAAAACTTTTAGAATACAGAGGGTAGTTTTATGTTGGAGATACTCTATGTTAAAAGATTAAATAGCATACTTAGGCTATAAAATAATTTATGATAATGAAAAAGTCGTTTAATATTTCAGGGAAATGGTAAAATATAACCCTATTTTTAAAATGTTATGCTATTAAACATCAATTCATTGATGCTACATTTATTAGGCAAGGAAGGAATGTCAACTTCCCAGTATGGAATTACCCATCCATTGCCCAGCCTTAACTGAAATAAAAATCTACATAAAATATAAAGTAATGAAAACATTTCTTAGGTATACACATAGCTCCAGGTAGTTCCATGGGTTATCAGGAGCTATTAATGGGTTTCCTGGAAGAATCTGGATCAATAATCAAATGAAACAAGTTACCGCTTTGGGCTTATCCTTTGCTAGGAAGTCACCAGTGGCCAGTTCACTTCTAATACCATCTAGGCAGTTATTTCCCTCCCTCCCTTCATCCATCCTTCTCTCCCTTTGTTCTTTTATTTTCTTTTAAGTTAATTTGTTTCTTACCAGAACTTCCTTAAATGCTTGGCTTGAGAATTCTCTTGAGAAGTGTAAAGAATATGGAACTGGCACCTTTGTTTTGGTCTTGACTCTGCCAAAAGAAGCTGAGATTACGAATTTGCTACTTCTCAGGATCTTGGTTTCTACAGCTATAAAATGAGAAAGCTGAAGCAGATTAGTCACAAGCGGACTACCAGCTCTGATTCTTCCATCTGCGTATTCTTTTTGCTGGACCTGTACATCCAGTTGCTTCCAGGCCTTTGTTTACTTGACGGTGCCACTGGTACTTGAGATTGGTTATCAGCGCCACCACCTCCTATTGAAGCTTCTGTAGTTTGTTCCAGCCCCCACCATCAGAACCAAGGGACTGAGGGATAAGTTACTGGAAAGCAGCCCCAGGGGAGGAGGAGAGGCAGCTGCAACTCCAATGTTTAAATGACCTACACGTAGCTCAGGAAACTTGCCCCTTCGTAGCATTTCCTTCTTGCCATTTCTTTTATTATTTTTTTTACCAGACAAATGTTTGAATTTTTTTGTTTTGTTCTGTTTTCCTTTTTGTGTGTGTGTATTTTCTTCTTGGAATGGGAAAGGTGGGGTGGTTGCTGAAGAGGGGAAAGGAGAAACAACCAAACATTTTACTACAAACTGTGTGCCTCCAGGGACACAAAGCACACATTTCCTTAAAGGTAGTGATTCTCTCCCCCACCCGCAAGTCTGTCATCGCAGTTTCAGTTAGGACAACCCCACCTCCACATCTCTCTTCAGGTTCTGCTCTCTAGCACATTGGAAGCCCTCCCTGCATTGCTGATCTAAGTCCTCCGAACACCCGTGCCCACACTCACCTCCTCAGTGAATGCTGCTTGACCTCACTTGCTGGTGATTACCAATCAATCACATTTAAGCCCCCTAGACTTCATTGCTATTCTTTAAAAATATATTTAACATAGGTTCAGATGCAAAATCAGAAGATACCAAGTCATACTGTGTATGTTGTAGTATATACAGTAATATCTTCCCTTACATATTTTAAATACATTAGAAGTAGGGTGACTTTTCACGTATTGATCTGTTTAGTCTCCGAGATGAAAGGTCTGAAGAGTAATCCTTCAGCTATAAAGTCATTTGACCTGACTTGTTTTCTGTGCTCATTGTGATTGCTGTGACTTATTGAAGTTGATCCCAGCTTTGAAATTGGCATGTATACTTTTTCAAAATGGTTCTTATAAGGACTATAAAAATGTGGTCATTGAAAGCTATTTCAGAAAATGTATTGCTCTTGCTATGATATTAAAAATGGTAATTTTTAAAATTTTATGTCCACTCTGCATGTTTAATTATAAATTGGATATTTTTAAAAGCTATCTTGGTCTACTTCTTTGTGTGTTTTAAATTTGGAATGGATCTTTGAACAGCTGTACAGCTGCTGGACCAGTGGTCATTGGGTCCGTTGGTTTGCCATGAGAGCCATCACCACAGGCTGTCTCCCTGGTAGTAAGGAAGGTGTCTTGGTCAACTGGAGGTAAAACAAATACTTTGCATTAATCACTCCCCCCTTTACTGTCAGCTCCCTGACCATCACTGCTCAGACCATCACGGAAGCAAAGATGATGTAATTGTAACATCTTTTCCTCTTTATTATACACAAGATTGAAGCTGCCCTTTGCTAATTCTCTTTGAGATGTCCATTCTAACGTGTGTTTTATCGATGGAGACCACACTGCTTTGCCTGCTACCCTAGGATTACTGGATTGCAGTCTTCCAAGAAGCAAAGAATCAGGTCTAATTTATGTTTAGCAAAATAGTGGTTGTAGTAGAAATTTGTAAGTTTGTGGAATGCAGTAGAATAGGATTGAATGACTGTGAGGAATCCTTTAATGCATGCTTTTCAGCAATTCTTTTTGCAATGAATGTTCTCTTGTCCATCTCAAAGTCCACTAAAAGAGCACTGGGGGGTTTTGTTTGTTTTGTTTTGAACCTTGCAAACAGTGGTAACTCTTTACCTTTCCACTAACACCCCCACCCCGCTCCCTCTTGCTTACAGTTGTCAAATGTCATGATCTCTGGACCCACCCCACAGTAACAAGTTCGTTAGTGATTTTTAAATACGGTGCAAATCAAGGGATGTCCATCCCGCTGCGGCCCACATGGGACTGGCTTGGGGAAGACGCAGCCGAGTAGACAGTTTCTCAGGGTGACTCATTCTCAACACTGACCGTTGTTTTTACATCCGCCAGGGAAAATATACCAGACATTGTTATGATGAAAACAACCGAGAGAGGCTGGTGGTGAGAAGACCCGAGGTAGAATTTGGCCAGAGCTGCGCGTCGCCCGGGAGCTGCGGCGGCGGGGCGGGCGGGGCGTCGGCGGCACCTGTGAGGCGCGCGGGCGGCGGGCGTGGCCGGGGGCGTGGCCGGCGGCGGCGCCGGCGGTTGGAAGGGGGTGGAGTTGCCCTTGGAGGCGGCACCGGCCCTGGGCCCCGAGGCCCGCCGCGCCCTATCGGGCCCGAGCCGAGTGGCCCCGCGGAGCCGGCGCGCTCCCGCCTGCAGGGGGAGGGCGGACGGGGCGCGGGGACCGGCCAGGCCGCGGCGGGCGCTGTTTCTCTTTCACTTTCCTTCCCTCTGAGGCCGGCGCGCTGGCGGGCGAGGAGCGGCGGCGGCCGCGGCCGCGGGGTAGGTCCTGGGCGGGCTCGGGAGCTGCCGAGTGGCCGGACTGCGGCCGCCCCCGCGCTCCCCGCCCGAGTTGGCGCCCGGGGCGAGGGGCACCTCCTGGCACCTGCCGCGGCCGGCGCCGCCGGGAGCCCGGGGAGCCCGCGGGGGCGGGGGCGGGGGCGGGCCGCAGTCTCTGGGCTTCGGAGCCGCGCTCTCCCCTCGGGGCGGCGGGCGGCGGGCGGCGGGGGCCGGGGAGGCGGCGCGTCCTCCTCCGCGCAGCGCGGCGGCCCGAGCGGCGCGGCGGCCGGGCCCGGGCACCTGCCGGCGGGCGGGGCGGGCTTGCGTGGGACCGCCCAGGGCCTGCCGCCGGCTCCCGCCGGGGCGGCGGAAAAGTTCCCTTCTGGCCCGGCCCTGCAGGGACTTGCTTCCTTTAACTGTCTCGCTGACAGGGCTCTCGGGCTTACGGGCTGGACCCGCCCCCGGTCGGGCCGTGCATTTCCTCTTTGAGAGGACTTTCCTTTACTTCCCGGCAAACCTGTGGGAAAGGCAGGGCCGTGAATCCCAGTGTCTGGAAGGGGAAGCTGAGCCCCGGGCACGGATGTGCGGAGCCTGGCCAAGGGCTTCCAGCGCGGAGGCCGGACTCCAGAGCCCTGCCTGTCGTCTCTGCGCGCTCTCTTGCACCCTAGGCACGTTTTCCCGAGCGGATAGGATGCTTCCACGCAGAGCCTATTCCGTGCACATTGTCAGTGGCGGTGTGTCCAGGGAATGATGCCTTTGACCTTTCCGGTTGCTTTATGCTTGCCTATGAGCTAACAGCTAGGACAGGAGGAAAGTTCCTGTTTATCGAGTTAACTTAGGAAATCAATACCTTCTTTCGTGTTGTGTTTTCTAAGAGGACACATTTGTTGCAAGAAACTTTTTAAACTTTTTTTTTTTTTTTTAGTAATCTGTGTACAAGCCAATTATGCTAAACATTTTTGGGAAAAAATGACATTTAGTTTTTACTGTGTGCTAACTCTATGTATATTGTCTCATTTAATCCTCACCACTCTAGAAAACTGGCACTCTTATTTTCATTTTACAGTCAAAATAGCTGAGATTTAGGATAAGTAACATTGCCCAGGTTATACGTTTACCAAATGTGACTGGTTTCTCTCAAAGATTTTGCCATCCTCTAATGGAGGAGATAAAGAGTGAATGTAACTGTAAATCAAAATAAAGGGAAAATGTAATAGGAGAGAAGTAAGGGTCTAAAAGGGAGAGATTACACTGAGGATAATCAGCGTAGCTTTTTGTATGGAGAAGGGTTTTGAAGGATAGGTAGGATGTAGAGCCTGCAGAGTGGACTGTGGGAGAGAGTGATCCTTTCGGTTTGTCTGAAGAAAAGTGTGGAAAGGTGTGTTAGGGTCACCCTGTGAAGGGTCTCATATGACAAGCTAAGAAATATAAACACGTTTCTGTTGTAAAGAGGAGACACTGACATTCTTTGAGAAGAGGACTCAAATGTGATGGAATAAAATCAGCCTTGCAGAATATAAGGTGGGCTGCAGTTGGAGAGGTACTGTTGAGGTAGGGCGGCTGCGGATGGAATGGAAAAGGACGCGAACTTGATTGGACTACTCACTGGGTGTGGGGTACAAAGTGGAAATAGCGTTTTGATAGGGAAGATAATGACTTCAGTTCTGAATCTTTTAACTTGTATTGGCAGGAACTCCTAGTCAAGCAGATAGTTAAAGTGCATTACTGGAGAGGGAAGGAAATCAAAACTGGCGGTAATAGCCTTGGGTGTCATTTGTACAGAGGTGATAGTTGAGGCCCCGGGATTGGGTGAATTTGTCATTATTCTGAATTAAATAATAACAGTTGTACAAATTAATGTTACGATGAGGGAAACGTTCTCTTCACCTGTTCACCCAATTTGGAACATGTAACATGTGCTGCTAAGATAATGATATTAATACGGTATGAGGAATTTGACACCTTTTTCTCTCATCTTTTTAAAATTTTTGTGGAGACAGATATGGAAAAGCAGAACCACCAAAAGGAGTGATGACCAGTGATCTCATGATAAATCTGGATGTCAGTTCTCATGCCTCAGGACATCCAGTTGGGAACTCCACACCAGCTCCTGGCATCAGACTTTCATCTACTTAATACCCCTCTTTGCCTGTACTACTAAAGCCAGTTATAGCTGACCACGAATGGCTACCCAAAGGAAACACTTGGTAAAAGATTTCAATCCTTACATCACCTGCTATATCTGTAAAGGGTATCTGATCAAGCCAACTACAGTGACCGAATGCCTCCATACCTGTAAGTATCCTTTTATGTCATCTATCCCTCCAAAGTCATCAGTTGCGTGTTCTCTTTTAAAACCACACATTTTCTTTTTATCTAGATTTTAACTTTTAAAGCAATGAGTATTCTAAGAATTAACTTTGAATTTATTTTCAGGATTGAATATATTTGTCATTAGGATACCTGTGACATGAAATTTTTCTTGTGTTATTTAAATCTTAATAGGTGACTTTCATCTGATTTTAAAATGTTCTAAAAAAATCGTAAGCATATTATTGGTTATAGTTTTTTAATTAAGATGTGCATACTTTAATTCTTTGCTTTTTTTTTTAAACCACTTTATTGAGGTATGGTTGAAATACAAAAAGCTATACATATTTAATGTATGCAGCTTGATGAGTTTAGAGATAAACGTATGCCCGTGCAACCATTACTGCATCTATGCCATAAACCTGTCCATCACCTCCAAAAGTTTCCTCCCCCTCTTATTATTACTTTTGTGATAAAAACACTTAATGTAAAATCTACCCTCTTAGCAAAGTTTAAGTATACAACACAGTATTATTAAATATAGGTCCTATGCTGTACAGATCTCTAGGACTTACTCATCTGGTATAACTGAAACTTTGTACCCTTTGACTAATAACCACCAGCCTCAACATCACCCGGGAACTTGTTAGAAATGCAGGTTATCAGGCCCCAACCCAGAATTACTGAATCAGAAACTCTGGGAGTAGGCCCAGCAGTCTGTATTTAACAAGCTCGCCAGGTGATTCTGAAGCACTCTCACATTTGAGAAGCACTGTTTTATTAATATGGTCAAATCTGTGGAACTCCTGACAACTTTCTTTCTCACCTGTCCCATCAGTAGAGGAAGAAACATTTTTATAGCCACTTATGCCAGGATTTCATACCTTTTGTGTTTCTGCCAGTATGAATTTATATTCTTACTTCAATGAAAATAATTCCAGTGAGTTCTAGTTTAATGCCTATTTTGTGCACCAAAATAGATACTTTATATATCTGCATTTTAGCTTTACAGTAACCTTGAAGCAGTTTGGAGTGGATGAGGGGAGAGAGAGAGAGGGTATAGAGATGATCTTCATTTTGTGGGTGTGGAAACTAAGAGTTAAGTAACTTTCCCAGTCTCACAGCTAGTGAGTGGTGGAATGGACCTGGATTCAACTCCCAAACCCATGCTCTTTCTAAGATAACATGGTGCTTTTTTTTTTTTAATCCCTCCCTTTTAGCTCTTCTCCCTCTGCTGAAGTGACATAATATTATACCATTAGTTTCAAACAGGGGTACAAGACAGAATGACCTGGAAATGGTTAAAATGGCAAATTTTATGTTATGTAGATTTGACCACAATAAAAAAGAATAGAATCATCTAGAAAGCTGTTTAAACATACTCATGCTCAGAAACTCTACCTAGAGAGTTTCAGTGTATGTTGTGGTGAGGTCTGGGCATGTGTTTTTTGGAAAACCCCTCCAAATGATGCTGATATTTATTCCTTTTGGGTATTACTGGCCCATGCAATTCAGTTAGCAATTAACTATTAACTGTTCTTGAAATAGTAATTTATTGTTGCTCTGTGTCATTATTTAACTTGAACAATATTCAGTTAAATAGCATCGAATAGATATTTATTGAATACGTGCTGTGTGCCAGGCACTGTTCTAGGCACAGAGGCTGCAGCAGTGAACAAGATAGTCAAAACTCTGCTCTCAGGAAGTTTACATTCTAGTAGGGGAAACTAGTAATAAATATGTGCCACGTTAGATAGTGTTAAATGCTATGAAGAGGAACAAAGAAGGATTGTAGATAGGAGAGATTGGGTTATTTTATAGAGTGTCAGGGTCCGCCTCTTTGCTACCAAGACGTTTGAACAGAAACCTGAAGGGACTGACTTCTGTGGATATAAGAGAAGAACATTCTAGACAGAAAGAAAAGCAAGTCCAAGGCTTGGGGTGGGAATGTCCTTAGCAGGTTCAAGGAACAGCAAATCAGTTAGAAGGCGCTGGCTGAAGGTCAGCTGAAAGGTTATCCAGCCGCAGCCAGGGTAATGAGGTGTGAGATGGAGGTGGGCCGAGTGATTGGATCATGGATGTACTTTGCAGGACCCAATGGGATGTGGCTGCTCTAGAGTGGGATCTTTATCTTATACTTCTGTGTTTCACTCTACACCAAGCATAGTACTTGGACATGGTCCACAGTGTGTTTTGTTTCTTCCAACAGTTGTGCATTGTTTTTATCTTTGGATTTCTCCAGGAAAAACTGCCAACGTTGTTTTGAAAGATGAGAAGAAAGCACAAATTCTCCAATTTCTACCTATATAATACAGATTTTATATCTGTTCTTCTATGAGAAAATTTTCTTTGGGGTATAATGAAATCCCAATTTAAATTTCACTTTTTTAGAGTAAAAACAAAGATTCTAGAAGTATGAATAATCATTTTATAAGATAGGGTTATGTTTATGTTTGCAACAGCAATTTAAGGTCTAAAGGGGTAAAGTGACAGCTTAACTGCACAAGTCATTCTATCCTGAAAAATCCCATGGTGGTCATCAAGCCCCATTACTGAGAGAGACTGAACATGGCAGAAGTATGATTAAAAGACAGTGGTAAATCACAAATGTGGTCTTTATCATCAACAGAGAACATAGAACAGTAGAGTAAATGATAGAGTCAGATACTCAATCTCATGTCTGAGGAGACTTGAGGACTCTTTTATGCTAATCTTGATACTTTCCGGTCCTTGGATTTCTGTGTATTTTTTTGGTTGTATTTATATTGGGGCTTAGAGGCAAAAACTATCCCACTTGTAAAATGTCCTGTTATTTGTTACAATCAGATAAATAGTACCGCAAAACAGTGTTCCTGAATCATTTTTGGGTCTTTGTTGTTACCTGGTTTTCTTATGTATAATGTGGGACAGATAACAGTGGTGCTGTAATTTGGGATCAGTATAGAAAATAGAAAAGTCAGATGGCCAAATGGGACAGGAGGAAAGTGAGAATTGTCATGTGACGCTGTGGTACCCTATAATATTTTTTATCTTAGGCATGTAAAAATAATACCTAATTAAAATAACTTTATGCAAAGACTACAATTTTATGATACCATAAGGAAAGAAGGAGTAAACAGGGGCCAGCCCCATGGCCGAGTGGTTAAGTTTGCATGCTCTGCTTGGGCTGCCCAGGGTTTTGCTGGTTCGGATCCTGGGCGTGGACATGGCACCACTCGTCAGGCCACGCTGAGGCAGCATCCCACATGCCACAACTGGAAGGACCCAGAACTGAAAACATACATACATATACAACTGTGTACTGGGGGAATTTGGGGAGAAAAAGCAGGAAAAAAAAGATTGGCAACAGTTGTTAGCTCAGGTGCCAATCTTTAAAAAAGAGAAAAAGAATGGGTAAATAATAGTTCTCATTATGAAAACTCATAATAAAATACACAGATTTTGGTCTTACTGTTCAAGTTTGAAATATATAAATGGAGCTTTATTATTGGTAAGCAAAACCAGACTTGGAATCTACCCTTCTGGACTGTCTGGTCAATGGAAGAAGGAGTAATCAAGTTATGAAATGTACAAAATAAATTTAGATGCCGATAGGTGTGATGGAAATAATGAAACAGAATGATATAATGGCAGATATGTGTCAGGATATTGTAGTAGAATGGAATGCAAGAGAAGGAATTAGAGTATTTTCTGAAACTCCTAAAGCCATAAGCCCTAGGCCTTCTCAGGTGGGACATTAGCACCTGGGCCTGGCTGCCGTGGAGGTGCATTGGGGTGGGAGGTAGGGAACATGAGTGACTCTTCCCACTTTGACAGAGGTAAATGAAGTTATTTTACTCTTCTTTCAAAATACTCTGCAAAACGCATTTCAACTCTTTCTCTCTCCTCCTCAAATCAGATAGATTGTTGCTCTTCCATTCTCCTGTTGAGAAATTCTGGAGCTAACACAGCCTGGCTTCCCTGTGAATGTAGAAATAAGGGCCAAAAGGACCAGCAGGACGGCTGACTGTGGTAGCATTTAATGTTCTTAGCACTCTAGCTATGTGGGAGAAAGAGAAAGGGGGAAGCCAGTCAGGTGGGAGAGAGAGGCAAACTATGTCCCGGGCTCCTGGCAAGGAGTTGCAAAAAAAAAAAAAAACTTATAAAAGCCCCATCTTTAAGGAGGCTCATATCTTACCTTCTAACACCACTTCCCTTCAGTAGGCCAAGGACATTTGTTAAAAAGATAAAATTTTAAAATGAAGTAAAAATTTGAAGCACAAATGAGTTTTAGCTTTACACGGTCACTTAATGCTAGATAAACCAAATTCATATTAACCATGGTAAGATGTCTATGAGATAATTTTAATAACCCAGCAAACCTCAGGAAATAAACATCTTCACACAAATAATTACTGAATTCTTTAAAATAAATAAGTAGATGTCAGGCACTTCACTAGCCACTGGGGTAGAGTGGTAAAAAAGATAAACTTTGAGGACCGGGCGCCTGGTGGAACAGCGGTAAAGTGAACACGTTCCGCTTTGGCAGCCTGGGGTTCCCCGGTTCAGATCCTGCGTGCAGACATGGTACCACTTGGCAAGCCATGCTGTGGTAGGCGTCCCACATATAAAGTAGAGGAAGATGGGCACGGATGTTAGCTCAGGGCCAGCCTTCCTCAGCAAAAAGAGGAGGATTTGCAGCAGATGTTAGCTCAGGGCTAATCTTCCTCAAAAAAAAAAAAAAGATAAATTTTGAACTTAAACTCTATCAGGCAAAACTTCTCATAAGCCAGGAAGAACTTTCTCCATGGGTATTTGGATCTATCTTTTTTCTTTCCTGTGTGAACTCATCTACTCTGAGACTTCAACTACCTGTGCTGATGCCTCCCAGATCTTTATTTCTTCTATCTTCAGAATCCTACTGGATGTCCACTTGCGTATTCTAAATCCACCTGGAACTCAGCGTATCCAAAAATGAATGAGTGGGATGTCCAGGCAAGAAATAT